TATATATACATATATATATATATATATGTGATTTCTTATATCACAAAATATATATATATTTTAATTTAAACGTTTTTTGGGCATTATTTGAGTGGAACAAGACAATGGCGGTTAAAATTTTGAATTAGCTGTAATTTACATTTTTTTGCTCTTTATATTATTATTATTGTTTTTGTTGTTATCATCTGTTACCTTAAAGTTTCGTGCACCTCTGCAGTTTCTCTCTCTCTCTCTCTCTCTCTCTCTCTCTCTCTCTCTCTCTCTCTCTCTCTCTCTCGCTGCGCGCGAGAAAGAGGATTAACTTGTGAACCAATGGAAATAAGAACTTAAACGGGAGGTAAATCTGGCCACTGTCTCTTTGTAGGGAGCGTCTCTAAAGCAATTAAAGCGAGAAAGAGTTTCTTCTGAGCGCCTCTCCACCCAAAGCTCCTTAGAGAGCGACGGTAGCTGTCCAGCGCGTCTGAGGGGCTTAAACGTCCCCCAAAACAGCTCCCCTTACCCCTGTAGCCTGTCGTGGTGCACTGCTCAATACAAGGTGGCGAGACAGTGACACCTCCCCCACCCCCCCACCAACTGATTAAAAACTCATTTAAAATTGACACAAACCCCCCAGCATTTTCTCTCTGTGGTTTTGTATCTTGCAGGGGTACAATTATTTATGACTGCTTCAAAACAAACCAGCAGAGTTTCTGTGTCTTGCTGGTCTGCGTTCTTGACACTTTGTTGTACTTTATGACAGACGTGTCTATCAATTTTCATGCTGTGAAATGAAACCAGCTTTCCAGGCTGAATTTTGCTGAAATTCTAAAAAAAATAAATTAATTAAAAAAAAACTACCAAAAAGGAAATTTTGTTCATAAGTGTCCCTAAAATGTCCTCTTCCAAGAAAAATGTCAAACTTCCTGTCTTTTTTGGGGTGTTTTTTTTTTTATTTTTTTGCACAGCTACTCATGATATAGACATGAAGACCAAATTTCATCCAGCTAAATCAAACCGGCTTCCGGGACTGAATTTTGCTGAAAATTCTCAGGGATGCTACCAAATATTTTTTTTACCAAATGTCATAAACCAAAATGGGAGACTTCCAAACTTGGCTTCTTGAGACTTTTTGGTGTGTCTACTCATTATTGACATGACTACAAAGTTTTATCTTGCGAAATAAAGTTGGTTTTCTTGGATGAATTTCCCCATAGCGGGTGCAACCAAACATGCATTTTTACCCAAATCTCCTTAACGTGGCTGCCTAAAAACAAAACGACAGGCCCTCCGCATCTTTTTGAGCACACCGCTTCTTGAGACTTTTTTGTGCGGCTATTCATGGTAGACTTGACCACCAAATTTCACGTTGCGAGGTAAAACTAGCTTACGGGGCTGAATTTTTCCAAAATTCTTGGGGATGCTGTCCCAAATGTTCATTGATACCAAAATGTCCATTTCAGCTGCTTGCTTTTCGGACATGTGTTCAAATCTCCACATGCCTTTCCACATGCGTGTTCGAATAGTGGGGGGGAAAAAAAAGCGCTGAACTGCTATTTGGTGAATGATGCTCCCTAATAGCTAATTAATAGTCTTAATGATGTTTCTGCAACTTCATGAATACATTAGGTGCGCAATCCTGCAAAACTCAGCCTCCGCGGCACCATTCAAGGGTATTTCAGCATCTGTTCATCCCACGGCAATTAATCATTTTGATGTGTGGTTTAAAATCGACGACTTGCAGGGGACCTTTTTTTTTTCCCTTCCCTTAATAACAAAGCAATTTGCCTTGAGCTGCCTCACGGACGCATTTTTAGCACACCTTCATATTTCGAAACCCACTCCTTTTTTTCTTTTTGTCCTTTTCTAAACACGTATGTGAGAAATTGATTTAAAGAGGGTGTGAGGTGTTATTGTCAGCTGAATCCTCCTAATATCCTAATTTATTGTAACCAGATTTCAGAACCTCTCTGAACAAATCCCTCATCTCAAAGTTTTTAACCTGTCACTTTCCTCTAATGGTTGCAGAATTCCCCCACACGCCCCACCCTCTCTCTCAGTCCATCCATCCTTCTCCTCTCCCTTGTCTCAATTCCTCCGTCGCCTTTCTTTTTCTTGTCTTCGCTCTTCTCTCTCTCTCTCTCTCCCTGGCCCGCATCCCTCTGCACAAGGAGCCCCATTGTATAGTCCTAATCCAGAGGCAACACAGCTTTCGGGACATGCAGGGATAAAAGGCCCATCAAGCCCACAACTTTATGGGGGCAAATCTCTCCCTAATCCTTCGCTTTATCTAAACAAAAGCCCCCTCTGCCTTAATCCACCTATGTGCTGAGAAAAAAAAAAAAAAAAAACTGAAGATGCAGTGAAAGAAAGGGTTTGATGGAAGAGAAAGGTGAGATCATACAGGGAGGCTTGAAGTTTCGGAGAGAGTAAAAATAAGGCCAGCGTATGCGGGATGCGTCTTGTTTCTCATGAAGGGAGTTCAAGCGATCGTATTTTCCGCTCGTACGACTTCATGAAACATTTGCGTTGAAACGGAGACCCGACTTCTTCACGGGACCGTAACATACTGCAATGAATCATGTAGGTCCTCGCAATCAATACATGAGAACAACCGCTACGCTGACGAAACACATGAACCAAAAAAATGGGAAAAAAATAATAATACTAATGGAATTTGCCAACTTGACGATCACAACTCGGAGGACCCCATAAAAAAATTTATTGTTGCACCAATTGGGTCCCAACCTTAATTTTGGGAAATGTTGACAAATTTGGTGTCAGACAAAATCTCTCAGGCAAGCTTGTGTTTGAAGAACATCTGGAAATGGTTAAACGTGACACTAAAACGTCTGCTTCGAAGCAAAATGACAAACTTCAGATGACTGAAATTTGTATTTTCGAGGGTATGCTACCAAAAATGTCACAGAAATGGCCAACCAAAAAGAAAATGGCTGTCTTCATGAGTCCTTTCAGACATGTGGCTATTTTGGTATTCACTCAGGATAGACATGCTAACCAAATATCAGCTTTCAAAGTGAAACTGGTTTCGGGGTTTAAAGCGGTAACTTTTGACCAAAACTGTCCCTGAAGTTAGTGCTGAAAAACAAAGTGGAAAACTCGCAGTGTCTTTTTTTGGGTTGAGTTTTGGAGACTTCTTTTTTACCAAATTTTGCCAACTGGAACTGGCTTTTGGAGCTGAATTAAAAATAAATAAATAAATTACAAATAAATTCCAGGGTGTGCTAAAATGTCCTCTTCAAAATAAAATGACCGAATCCCAGTGTCTTTTAGGGAATGTATTTTTGAGACTTTTTAGCGTGTCTACTCATGAGACACGTAGTGACCAAATTTAATGTTGCTAAGTGAAACTGGCTATCAGGGCTGGATTTTTTTTTCCCCCCCAAAAATTCCATCTGATGCTACCAAACGTATTTTTTTTTATCATATTGTCCTTGAAATGCTCGCTTCATGGCAGACTTCCTGCATCTTTCCGGGCATGGGTTTTTAAGACGTTTTTGTGAGTCTTCTCATGGTGGACATGTCTACCAAATTTCATGCTGTCAATTGAAACGGGATTCCGGGGCAGAATTTTTCCAAAATGCTCGTGGCGATTACCAAACACATTTTGACCAAAATGTCCTTGGAATGGGTGCTTCATGGCAGACTTCATGGGGCTTTTTTTTGTCTATTAGAACATGAACATAGCTACCAAATTTTCTGCTAATCGGTAAAATTCGATTCCAAAAAAACTGGCTTGCAAAAACACCAAAAATTACTGAATTTTTTGCATCGAAACTGTCGTTGGCAAATCGCAAGCTTCTTTCCCTGTTGTTTTTAGAGCGACTGACTCTTTTCCCCTCTTGATTCCAATGTTTAAAATAGGTGTTAGACTCACTCAAAGATAATCTCCACATTCTTCAGCTAATCTTCCTAATGCCGTTCGACTCAGGTGTGGCCCTTGCTCTGAGCCCGGCTCCATTCTTTTCCCTCAATTAAGGGGATCTTTACGGCGTGCCGGAGAAACTATCTTGTTGTAAAATCCCTTCACTTCCTCTCAAACGTCTGTCTGACTTTAGTGACAATCCCACTGTATCTGCTGCACTTTG